GTAAATTTTTTGTCCAAAAAATTAAAAGCAGGGTAGAAAGAAGTAGGTTCAATTTCCCCTGTATTTTTTTAATCATAAGACCTAAGCAATTTTAACTTCAACATCATCTCTTTAAAACTAAAACTAGAATTGACATGAGCAAGAAATACTGTAAATTTAGAACATTACATGTTTTGTTAATGCCAAAATCAAATGATAAATATCCTTCAATAAACCTTATCTGAAAAAAAGTGATCTGCTGATGTACTGTAGCAAATGTTTCAAACATTCATATATTTTTACAGAATGGTAGCAAAAACTTTATTTCAAAATTTCAAGTAAATATCTGTTACACTGATTGATTTGGTTTATACTGTCTCAGCACAAAAAGACTATATATCAAGCCAAGACCTTATTAGATATTCGTTATAAAGATATGGATATTTGGAAAAACATAGAATATAATGGGGGAAGTCTGATTTTATCCCTTCATTTATCTGTACCATGTTATCTTTGTTATGTTTTTTTTTAATTTGTAATAAAATGCTCTGCTAGGCGCAGCTTGATACGACCACAGTGGTCGAACCCTGAACAGTTGGGGCAAGTATGGACACAACATTCAAGCTTGATACAGCTCTGAATTTGGATTGTGATTAAATATTTGACACAGTATAGGTTTCTGACACAGAATGAATGTGGTCTAAGAACTTAAAAATTTTTAATTTACCCATTATGGTCCAATATCCAAAATATAAATACATGGTTAGATTCGGCATATCAAAGAATCCAAAGAATTCAATTTTTGATGAAATCAAACAAAGTTTAATTTTAGACCCTTTTGACCTCAAGGTGGACCAATTTAATAACAGGGCCCAAAAATCAAAATACATAGTTAGATTCAGCATATCAAAAAACCCCATATATTCAATTTTTGATGAAATCAAACAAAGTTTAATTTTGGACCCCAACTTGGACCAACTTGAAAACTGGGCCCATAATCAAAAATCTAAATACATGTTTAGTTTCAGCATATCAAAGAACCCCAAGAATTCAATTTTTGTTAAAATCAAACTAAGTTTAATTTTGGACCCTTTGGACCTTAATGTAGACCAATTAAAAAAACAGGACCCAAAATTAAAAATCTAAATACACGGTTAGATTTGGCATATCAAAGAACCCCAATACAATGTAATTCAATTTTTGATGAAATCAAACAAAGTTGAATTTTGGACCCTTTTGACCTCAATATGAACCAATTGGATAGCTTGGCCCACAAATGAAAAATCTAAATACATGGTTAGATTCAGCATATCAAAGAACCCCATATATTCAATTTTTGTTGAAATCAAACAAAGTTTAATTTTTGACCCCAATTTGGACCAACTTGAAAACTGGGCCCAAAATCAAAAATTTAAATACATGTTTAGATTTAGCATATCAAAGAACCCCATATATTCAATTTTTGTTAAAATCAAACAAAAGTTTAATTTTGGACCCTTTGGACCTGAATGTAGACCAATTTGAAAACTGGACCCAAAATTAAAAATCGAAATACACGGTTAGATTTGGCATAACAAAGAAATAAATGTGGTCAAAGATTTTACAAATCTAATGCGCCATACTGTGCAATTAAAGATTACTTCTTGAAATTTTTCAATATTTGAAATTTGAAAAAAAAATAATATTTGAAGAGTAATTCTTTTTAATTTCTGAAATCTGAAATGAGAAAAAATTGACCCCCCCCCTTTTTTTTTTACCTCCCCCCCCCCCCCTTTTTCCCCCCAAAAAAATTCTTTCCCTCAAGATATGGTCGTAATCTCAATTCAAATTTCCAATGGAGTTTGCAACCATAATTACCCATTTAAATTTACCATAGTGCTAACTTAATCTATATTAAAATAGAATTTAAAATATGGTGTCAAATCTTTCATATGGATTTTTTTGTAAAAAAAAAGATGCAACATTTGCAGATATTTTTACTGGTCTTCCTTTATTAATATGCATTTCTTTAAACATAATTTAAAAGCAGTGTAAGGAAAGTAATCAAAACGTTGTATTTGGATTACCTCCCTTACACTGCTTTTAAATTGTCTTAATTGTTCATAAACCATTACTTTATACATCAATTTAAAAGCAGTGTAAGGGAGGTAATTCAAATGATGTATTTGATGTATCTCCCTTACACTGCTTCAAATTATGTTTTGTACTAAAGTATTTGTCCATTAACCAAGACAACCTTGTTTTTCCCCCCTTTTTGCCCCTAATTCCAAAACGGTTTGAGCCATAACCCCCCAAAGCAAATCCTAACCATCCCTTTGTGGTATGGAAACTTGTGGTATAATTTCATAGAATTCCATACACTGTTCCACAAGTGATTGTCTGGAAACTTGAAAATACTTATTTTTGGCCCCTTTTTGGCCCCTAATTCCTTAACTTTTAGTACCATAACCCCCAAAATCAATCCCAACCTTCCTTTTGTGGTATTTAACCTTATGGTAAAATTTCATAGAGATCCATTCACTTAAACTAAAGTTATAGTGCGAAAACCAATGTGTCTTCGGACGACGACAATGACGCCAATGTCATACCAATATACGACCACAAAAAATTTTGCGGTCATATAAAAAACTTTATAAAAGTATAGCAATTAAAAAAAAATATGCACAAATGTGCACATAACAGATGCAAACAAATAATTAATGCATCAAATTTGCCATGTTTAATGAAGTAATCACATTAATGGCATTTATCTTAGTTATGCAATTCACTAATTATGACTTACAGCAAAAATTGTCATGATCAAATTAAAAAATTTAGGCCAATACTAACAAATGATGCAACAGTTTTACAGATTTTCGACCATTTGTCCGTTTTAGCTTTTTCCAGAATTTACCTATTGGAGTTTATATTTTGTATTCTGATATCATTCTTTGTGTGTATCATTTCCATAAATTGAATTAGGTTAATAATCTTACATTTTGTCTGCTAAGCAAAAATCACATTAAAAAATGTGTAAAATAGTTTTGGAATTTACAGTATGTTAACAAACACATGACCGCTTGTTACTGAAAAATTCTTTACATGCAAATTATTCTTTGTAAAATACTAAGAAAATCCACAACACATATAACCTGGCAGTGGCCTAAACATTTATTCTATTTTCATCCAAAAAATATGTCTTAATCAAAAAAGCAAAAAATTTATGAGCTGAATGGCATTTGATTATGAGCTCAGACATAAACAAATCCATTTTTTTTTATTCACATATAAGTAAAACTATGTATTATGATAAAAATGTGTTTACAATTTTAGATTTTTTGAAGTCAGAAAATGACTGACATGTTTTAGGTACATGTATCTCAATGATTTGTTATGAAAGTTATCTGTAGTAATAAATAAAGATTCCAAAAACCTACAAAACGCAGTAACTTTCTACTTGCACCTATGTTGTTTAATGCACAGATGTAATGTGATCAAAATCTAGTAAAGATTTGCACTAAAACTGGGACTAGTAACCATCAGTGAGGTGTGAGCTTCTGCTCGGTGTAGAAACTATGGATTCAAGATAAAGAACAACAATAAAAGCGCTGTACCTTTACATGGAGTTTTGTAGAGTGCATGCAAGGATTTTATGTCATGAACTAATACACCACGTCACTTGTTTTCCAATAAATCGATCATTTATCTATGAACAATGAAAATTGCCTTTCATGAAAAAAAATGTTTTCTTAAAATATAGGAGATAATGCATTTCAATAAATATTAAAAATATATCACATATCAATATAGAAAATTATCCCATAAATATGAAAACTGCCCTAATGTTTTCAACATTATTATTTACATGTGTAAATATCATTTAAGTCTGTGATACATAGACAGATCATTAAGGTGATTACAAATACAATTATGCTGCTATCTTTAAAAGTTTAAGTTGTATAATACACAATATTCATACTGACTTTGACAAGACCTACCAATTTGATTAAAACTTAACCAAAAAATCTGAAATTGAAAAATTTTCTGTATGTTTAATTTGCCTAGTTTGTAACAACTTTGAAAATTATATTGAAATTTCTTTTAAATATTCATTTTGAATTAAAAATTTCATAGAACTTCACTTATAACATGTATAAATCAAAATTGAATTTGAAAAGAATAAATATTAAGTATAGACACAGAATTACGGTGAATTCATTATAATACATGGGATACCAAATTTTTTTGATTTTGTGGGTATAGGTGAACCACTATTTTAAATGTTCAACGAAGTACAAATTTCCAATAGACTTGTAAGCAAACTTTTGCAAAACCCTGAAATCAAGTATCTACGTAAAATACAATTTTTTCTCAACCCTAGGAAATTGGTACCCACGAAAAATAAATGAATCTACACTACTCTATGCATTCTCATTTAAGCGAAACATCTTAAATATTACAATTATCAACATCACTCTTTAATGCTTTAACACTTATACAAAATAAAAATCATTACTGAATTCAAGGATCAACCCAAATCATGAATCACAAATGTAAACAAACTACCAAACAGTTATCTTTTACAGTAAACACAAACATGACAAACTGATTCATTTAAAAAAATCACAAACAGGTATCTGGTCCAGCCATTCAACAAGCATATATGTACACTTCACTCGAAAACGATTTTGGTCATTTTAATTGCACAATTTATCAACAACAGAAAATGAAAAATTATCATTTCATTCTGTTGAAGATTTAAGGTGGTACCCAACACCTTGACTAATATTAATTTGGCTCGTTTAATTTTCATAAAAAATTGACAAAATGTTTACTTTGACCCTTTGACAAAAATATAAAAATTTCAAAAAATTTGAACCAACCACTTTATCAGAAAAAATTCATTGGTTATATAGCAGTTTGACAAACACTAATTTTGATCATTGAGAAGCTTAATATTTCCTTAACAATACAACGTAATTAAAACGTTTAGCTGATTTTTACAGAGTTATCTCCCTGTAGTGTTAGGTACCACCTTAACAACTTCTCCTACTAGTCATTTATTCCAGTGAAAATTCCACAACTTCTGCATTCATTCCGAGAAGGTTCCACAACTTCTGCATTCATTCTGGTAAAAAATCCACAACTTTTGCATTCATTCCGGTGAAGATTCCACAACTTCTCCTATGAATGAGTCAAATTCATATACATTAGATTCAAACATGCTTAACTGGTCTGTAATTTGTTCTAATGTTTCACCAACTGTAGGTTCTTCTGTGAACATGTTCAGACTGGGTGCTAATGAAAAATCTCTGTAGAACTTTCCAAGGTCGGTGTTGGGGTCCGCACCAGCAAATGGTGTTTTCTAAAACAGATAACAGTCATAATTATACCAATAATTATAAATGTTATATAAAAAAATAAAAGACCACTGAAATTGAGGCTTTTATTAGGTAGGTACGATATACAATAAAGATATTTTTTTTTACTTTGCATTATGTCATGTATGTCAAGTACATGTATGTGGTGTTAGGGTTAAAATTTTCATAACTTTACATAAAATCTAAATTAGCATAATGAAAAATGACTTAAGACCATTGAAAAGTAAATGAAAGAATTTGAATGCATAATAAATGAACTTATTCTTCCAGAAAATAACTGTCCATCATGTTTTAATTGAAACTTCTGTTGGATTTCTCTTCACGTTTTTGGTTTGTTTTTTTTTTGCTCGTTAATCAAAAAATAATTAGTTGGTATGGAATGCTTGGAGACAACTACATGTATCTACCAGAGACCAAATGAGATGAAGTTATGTAATGTTTTTCTAAATCACTGACTAATTTGTGTATCCAGCCAATAAACATGATATCTTTAATTAAGTAACCACAAACTACATCTTGGCAAGTTATTGGTGGAAGACAGAAGACATATAAACAAGAAACCTACCAACTCGACCATTACAAAATCATCTGGAGGTAATTCTTGACTGATAGAACTATGATTTGACAGAACACTCTCATGTAGTTTTTCACCGTCACCACTTGCATGACTGGAGGACTCTCTCCTGTCACTATCACATGAATCATTTCTGGATTTTGACGATTTCGACAGTTCTTTCACATTAAGCACAGTTTTGTCATCTATTTTTATATCATCCTGTATAAGATTAAGAAATGGAATGTCTTCAATGTCTGATTTACTGTCCCGATGAATTTTGTTGTCAGCAAATGCTCCTATTTTCTGGTAGCTTGTAAAACTTGTCTGTTTTTCCGGATTGCTACAAATATATACAGGAAAAGGTATTAAAAATATGCTTACAATAATTATTATGTCTGACCATGCTGATATATACATTTACATTGTAATATAGAAAAAAGGAAGAAAAAAAGGTGTTTCTTAAAACTAAATTAAAATAAAATTTAAATAAAGATATGGAAAATGTTTCAATAAACAGGTGAACTTTAGAATACACTAGGAAGTTGACAAACAATCTTAAACAAAAGACATGTGTTTCCTACCAAATGCCTATCTCTAAATCTCTCCAATCAACACAAGATGTGAATGACTTTTAAAGAGTCTTTCAGGTATCTGTCATCAAGAGAAAATACCTCAATGGTAAAAGAAACAAAGATATTATAAGTCTAAGATGATGAAGTTCCAGTCAGGTGCATAAGTATGTGTGTGTGTGTGTGGAAGGGGGGGGGGGGGGGATTTGGTATTGTTAAATTTGTAATCTATGAAATAATTTCTTTCATTAACTAACATGTAATAAATCGAATAAAACCCTTTACATATAGATATCTTACCTGTGTGATTTTGAATCATGATGGTTTCGCGGTGATGTGTTGTTTATCCCAATCGGCTGTGATCGTGGAATTTGACTATTTTTTAGAATATTATCCCCTGGACTGTTTGTGAATGTGAAATCCTGTGTATCATCAGATCCCTGACATAACTCATCTGCTACACTCTCACTGCAATACACATGATAAATACAATATAAATCATAGATATAATGTTAAAAGAGAATGACTTTACAATATTCTTATTACATGTATTACTTACATGTACAATACATTACATTACATTACAGGTATTTTGCAGAAATTGCTAGGCAACATCAACAGACATGAGCTCTCTACAGAAAACTGTCAATGACCCACAAAAGTGGAAGATCTTCCTTACTGCCCTTCACATCAATGGTGTCCAGGGCAGTAAGTAATTAAATCCTCAAAAATAAATGCACAAATTAATTTCTGAATTTATATTTTATAGTAACTTGCTTCATTAGGTGCAGGCCATGTGACAGAATTATGTTGATATGTGAGAGATAATTGTAAAATTCCTTTAAAATAATTAACAAATTAACAAATAAATAAATGGGGAATGTGTCCATGGGACACAGATGATGCCCCCGCTTGCACATCATATAAAGTTACAAAGGGAAATAACTAAAGAACGGTCAAAGTGATGCTACTCAAATTTGTACTTGATCTGAGTTTTGTTGTAATAATTTTTGTGTATAAGTTTCATAAAATTTGGTTGAGGCAAACTTAAGTTAGAGAACGGAAATGAAAAATTCAGCAATTTTTCAACTTGTAAAGGGGCATAACTCTAGAACTGTTTAAGTGACACCACCAAAATTCAAACTTGATCTGTATTTTGTGGTAATAAGCATTGTGTATAAGTTTCAGAGTATTTGGTTGAGACAAACTAAAGTTACAGAACGGAAATGAAAAATTAGGCAATTTTTCCATTTGTAAAGGGGCATAACTCTAGAACTGTTAAAGTGACGCCACCAAAATTCAAACTTGATCTGTATTTTGTGGTAATAAGCATTGTGTATAAGTTTCAGAGCATTTGGTTGAGGCAAACTAAAGTTACAGAACGGAAATGAAAAATTAGGCAATTTTTCCATTTGTAAAGGGCATAACTCTAGAACTGTTAAAGTGACACCACCAAAATTCAAATTTGATCTGTATTTTGTGGTAATAAGCATTGTGTATAAGTTTCAGAGCATTTGGTTGAGGCAAACTAAAGTTAGAGAACGGAAATGAAAAATTAGGCAATTTTTCCATTTGTAAAGGGGCATAACTCTAGAACCGTTGAAGTGACACCACCAAAATTCAAACTTGATTTGTGTTATGTAATAATAAGCATTCTGTATAAGTTTCATAACATTTGGTTGAGACAAATTAAAGTTAGAGAACGGAAACCAACTATGGGACGTACGTACGTACTGACGTACAGACGTACAGACGGACAAGGGTAAAACTTAATGCCCCCTCTGCTATGGCGGGGGCATAAACAAATGTGCTTAACTTTTAGTTGTTTGGTCCAAAATTGATGAATTCTGACCAGAGATGGGTTTACATATATCTTAACTTCTAGAGCAAGTATGTTTCTATGACTTGATTTAAAAGACAGTTTTTTTTTAACCTTTAAGCCCTTTTCCAGAAACAAGTTTGGATCAGATGTTCAAACGTGAACAAAATACCAATCTTTGCTACATGTATGTACCAAGAAAAACTGCAAAACTTGACAAAAGCCATCCATGGATAAAATTAAGGTTTAATTAGGTAATGTATTTTTAATGTTGACATTCTTTACTAACTATGATGCATCAATGCCAAAATATCATTTCTGTATCTTCTATGATTAAAATTTGCTGTACAATATAATGCTTAAAATTAACTTAAGTGCAATTCATGAGTTAAATGAAGGTCATGACGACCTAACTTTAGTGTGGACCCTCATTTTACATGATGCATCAACTGACCAGAGATTATTTCTGTATAAATATGTTTTTTATTTATATTTTGTAGATCATGACCTTAAGTCACGTTTTAACAAAATCCATTCTAAATGAAAGTCTAGGTGACCTCATTTTACAATTGTTTTTTTAGTGTGAAACTTTGCACAAATGAACAATAGGATTAAATACTATGCCCCTCCCCATCTTCATTTGGCTAGGGGATATTTAAACCATCAGTGAGATATCTGTATGCAAATAAAATAAAGTTTTTACAAAAGATTCATTTTAACATTAGAACTTAAAAGACATGTGTGCAGAGAGTTCTTGAAATCTTTTTTTCCCTGACGGTCCTTGAAGAAAAAATTCGTAAGGGTTCCGCGGAACCCAGTGTCTCGCCTACTTTTGGTGTTAATCGCAGGCTCAACAAAAATGAGGAAAAAAATTAATAAAAATATTCCCCTCTATACTATGTTTTGATTGTAATTAGCTTCTGTCCAAGTTTGGTAAAAATCCAGGATAATTTATGAATCTAATAAATGTTTTAAAAACTTAAACTGCAGAATGTATGTAATGTTGACTGGAAGAAAAACTAAGTCCATTTATAAGTAAAATACAGAAAAAATGGAACAAAATTTTATCAAAATTTCCTTCTAGATACTAGCTTTTGATCATAAACAAGCTTCTGTCCAAGTGTGGTACAAATCCAGGATAGTTTAAGAAAGTTGTTAAAATTTTAAAAACTTTAACCACAGAGTGAATGTAATGTTAACTGGCAGAAAAACTAAGTCCATTTATAAGTAAAATACGGAAAAATGGAATTTTTTTTTTACAAAATTTACTTCTGGATACTATCTTATGATCATAAACAAGCTTCTTTCCAAGTTTGGTATAAATCCAGGATAGTTTAAGAAAGTTATTAAAATTTCAAAAACTTTAACCACAGAGTGAATGTAATGTTTCCTGGCAGAAAAACTTAAGTCCATTTATAAGTAAAATACGGAAAAATGGATTTTTTTTTTTACAAAATTTACTTCTGGATACTATCTTATGATCATAAACAAGCTTCTTTCCAAGTTTGGTAGAAATCTAGGATAGTTTAAGAAAGTTATTGAAATTTTAAAAACTTTAACCACAGAGTGAATGTAATGTTAACTGGCAGAAAAACTAAGTCCACTTACAAGTAAAATACGGAAAAAATGGAATTTTTTTTTTACAAAATTTACTTTTGAATATAATCTTATGATCATAAACAAGCTTCTGTCCAAGTTTGGTAGAAATCCAGGATAGTTTAAGAAAGTTATTAAAATTTCAAAAACTTTAACCACAGAGTGAATATTTGTGGACGCCGCCGCCGCCGCCGCCGACGCCGACGGAATGTAGGATCGCTATGTCTCGCTTTTTCGACAAAAGTCGAAGGCTCGACAAAAATCTGCTGGTCCTCACTATTATTTCTATAGCAAAATACCAACATAGTGTCGGTAAATTTTAGTGGTCAAAACCTTCAGACCACTACTTTAAGAGAACTTTGTGTGCATGTAAAATATTTTGCAAGGTTTAGCAAATTTCCCTTTTTCTAATAAAACATGTATATCTTATCATGCTTATAATTCTGTTCAATTTCATGTAAGAAAATATAAATTTTGTTTGAAGTTTTACTTATCAATGTACATGGTTTTGCTCTTTTTGTGTGCATATCACATACAATTGTTTAATGCTTAAAAAGATGTTTTAATTCCTGAATTTAAGCAGGGATATATATGTCATGTATGTCATGTACTTCAATATTTAAAATATTCCATTTATAAATTATAGTTGCATAAAATACAAAAATTTAAAAGCTATTTTGTGAAAATTATGGTCATAGTGCATGAAGTGTAGAACTTACCTTACAGACCCAACAGATATTTGATCAACATTATGTGGCATTTTAATTAAAGTCCAAATATCAAATATATTTCCAATAAATGAATAAATTAGTGACAGCAAATTTTTTAAATCCACAATCGTTTGCCAAAAATATTACATAACTGACAACTTCAGGTCATAATTTATATTAATGATTAATTGGGGAATTTCTGATTTTTGTTTGTCAGGTCACATGAACACATGATGAAGGGAAGTATATAAATAAATTACTAAAACTGAAAATAAAAGAGGAAGTAAAATCCAATTTGTTAAAACTATAACCTAATATCTGGGTCAACTCCTAAATTAGAATATCATAGTTTTACAGAAAATAATGGTAAACCCTAAAATTTGAATAGTCACTTACATGTATATATGCATGTGCATGTCATTGTTACACTTTTCAAATGCATATCATACATGTCAGAATAAATGCTGGTTGCATTAATATAATGTAGCTATAATTTCAGAAAATCATATGTTCATGGTTTATCTAAATATGTTAAGGTCAGCATTTCATGGATTTCCTTAGTATCTATAAAAAGCTTCATCTAAATATAAATGCAGCTATATGCACAGTTCTTATCTCTCATTTGCTGAAACAGTCTATTCATCATCATCAAATACATATATATGTACACATATTCCATAATTTCCTCCAATCAGATTGTATTATATTTTTATACTGTCTACATGTAAATATGAAACCAATGAAATCATTCATAGAGTACTATGATTTGTATTTATATCTTTTCACTTTTCTCACCAGGCCAAAAAAAAACCAAAATTGTTTCCTGTCTCCAGGCAGGGAAAAAATAGAATAAATACATGTACATGTAGGTAGACAAAATAACAATCAAAACTGCAGAAGATTTTATTTAAAAAAAAAATTTTACATAGAAATGTTCTAGACTTGATCTGTTCTTACATATTTTTACAAATTGTGACATGGATGGAGAGTTGTCTCATTGGCACTCATACCACATCTTCTTATATCTATTAAACAAAATTGTTTATATATTGTAGTAGGGTACTATGGTAGCCATGAAAATTAAGGGTACATGTAGATAAGGAGACATAACTGAACTATATATTTTCTTTTAGTCCCAGTACACATGTTGCACACATTTTTACACACTTCACATGAGGTTAATATCAATGAATATACCTGGAATACCAGATAATACACCTACTGATATAGAAATGGAATAAATGTACATACAAATAAAAGAAGTATAAGGCCAAAAATAATTTAGTACTGTCTTACCTCCATACCACCCCTAAGCTTTAATACTTACATCATCATGATCATGTACATGTACATAATATTTAAGGAATTTTTTGTTTAAGTACTGTTAAAATCGAGATATTTTTGGTTAAGCACCATTAAAGTCAAGAACATTTCCATATATATTATCTACTGTGAAAGAAAAAAAATTATGTTGGGGTTTTAAATTTAATTATGTTAATTTCATGGAAAGATATTATCCATGACATTAAAATCCAAAAAGAATTTTGCCTGCAAAGGATAGTACTTTTACACATTGGAAACCTCGAAAATTAACTCCCATAAAATCAAATTTGATCAAAAACCACAAAATTTTAACCCCACAAAAGCAAATCTTTCTAAAACATGGAAAATATTTTTTCAAAAATTTAATCATATTACCTAGCTAGCTAGTTGCCAAGTTATCTGCAAGTATACCCTATTTTTCTTCCAGGAAGCAGGAACAAAGTACAAATGTATATATACACTGTATTTTTTATATAAAATAAAAAAAACAACTTTTTAATATATGGGACCTTTTATAACATGTTATAATGTATGTCACAACCAACAGTTGGGCTCAGGCCTTGGACAAATGTGGGATGAAATTAATAGAACAATTTATCAACCTTACCTTATTTTGTAATTTAGATATTATACATGTTACAGTTGCAGGTGACTTTAGAATGTGAAAACTAAGGAATTTCATATCTGGCTAAGGGTAGTTTCAGTCTGATGAGAGCACAGTTTAGCTTACATCAACTTATATCCAACCCAACTTATATTACAGATTGAAGTTCTTCATTACTCAACCTCCAGTTTCCTGGTTACATGTATTAACCCCAGAAACATCCTGTTTTCTGTCATGTTGGGGCCCAGTTCCCAGATGAAATATGATACCATTTATCTGTAATTGGTACATACATTATATCTGAACATTGTGGTGGCAAAAAATATATTGGAATCTAATTATATCATTGATGACCCAGTTGTACCATCGCCCTCTACAAATTGACAATGAAAACAAGCAAAAAGGAAAGACATTGTATAATTAATTGTTGTAATCAATCAGATCTTGATGACTCTAATACACCTTTGACAGACATATATTTTTTGGACATGTACCTGACAAATTAAACAGAGGGACTAAAACAAACAATGTAATGTATAGTATTATTATATGACTATAAATTTTCTGTTTTCTCATTGGCTAAAAGCATGATATAGGAAATCTTAGGTTGTAAAACATAATCACTGTGGGGAAAAATCATGAAAGGTATATTTATAAGATTTGAAACAGCTCACTTGCATGACTTGTACCTAAATATATTGATTTGGAAAGTTTTAAAGCTATTTAAGGAATGTATATAAAATAGTTTTTTAGTGGATGACCGTAAAAAAAAAAGGAAATACATGTACATGTAATTCTCCTTTCATCAGAAGGCAAAGGGTTGTTATCAATAATGTTTCTTTTGAGTGGAGCAATAAAGACATGATAATTATAAAGGCTGATGTACCCAATGAATCCTGAAATCTCTGTTACTACTTATAATTCAAAATGATAAATACATTTGTACATTACCTCTGATTGTTACCTTAAACATGTAACATATATAATATCATGTGTCTGTGACAAATTTTGACCATAACAAAAACACTAAAACCTGTGTACTTACTTTCTTTTATATCCCAAGGAGCAAGGCTTGGGGGTTGTGGGTCTTTTAGGACTGTTGTCCTTTTTAAAATGGTCATCCTTAACTTCAAAAGGTATTTCTTTCATAGTTTTCTGGGGAGTTATTAACAGTTTTGTCCTATATGCTAAATTTATATTGATGGTTCCAACTGGTGTAGGGACAGATCCAACCTTTGCTGTCTTGTAATCGTCTCCAAGCATGAAAAACTGAGGTTCTCCGTTATAAATCTTGTAACAAATCACAAAATCATCAGCACCTTGTTGTCTTGATAATTTGTAGGCAGGTGTCACACGTGACACACTTAACAAGGATTTTAGCGCAATACTCATCCTGTTGTACACAGCATATGATACTTTGACATTAGGATCACAGCTATCATGATTAAGACTGATGAACCATGTTTCTAGAATCATTGTGTCTCCGTCAGCAGTCTTTAAGGATATTTCAACACACACACTTTGTCCTAATAAAGTTTTCTGTCCTGCCAGTGTTTTCTTTGCCTCATTGTGAACTTCAGAGATATCTTTGATTGCCAAATTGAACTGAATAAAAAATTAAAAAATCTTAAACTATGTATACATTTCTACATGTACATGTACGTATAGAACTGTTGGTACATAAAGATATATTTTATACAAAAGGGTCATAGGTTAAAAAAATCATCAGCTTTGATTATGACGAAATTAACATTTTTTTTCATACATGTATACTGTCCTAAAAGCATGATAATGTGATCAAATTCAAAAGTTTAAAAACAATTCAATGTACATTTTTTTTGTAATTTCCATTGGAGTCTAAAACGTTTTGTTGTTAGGTGACTTTAGAAGATTTACAAATGCATTATCTGCTAACAACAGAACTATTTGTTTCAACAGATGAGTCTTACATGCATTTAGGTATTTGTTCACTTTACTTCATAGCCTGTGCTCAAATACATTGTATATGTGTACCTTGAAAACAACCTTTTCCTTCTTGTAAATTATAGACTAGTGCTACACAGATACTGAATATTTATATCAGTGAAAATATAACATACTATTATACATATGGTACATTTACACATGAACAAACATCATGAACATGACAAAAACAGGATACATTTTGTGAAAAGAATAAAATAATTTCCAACTATCCCTTCTTAATTATGCTAATATCAAAGCCTAAACAGCTAAATGGCATGAATGGGATATAAATTTTCAGTGCAAAAACAAAATCTTAATTATTGAATTTAGCAAAAATATTTAAAAGATCATTTCTTTAGATAAATGTCTGTACTAAGAACATACATATTTAGTCGTTTCGTAAGCTAGTTGTTTTGTACCTTGTCGATTCGTAACTAGGTCCTTTCGTAACTGAGACGATTCGTACCTGTTATAATTATTCATATGGTTATAAAGTGTGTCTCTAGTTTTGGCTTAATTACACAGTGAAAGACAATATATATATAAATTAATTCACAAGTTTTGTCTCTAGAAGTGTATAATGTCTATTCATTGAAGCTAATACAAATTTCTTGTGTTTCCTTTATATAACATGTATAATACAGGAAAAGATTTAAATAAACTATTTCACCGTGTATCATCTGTACAGCGGATATAGCTTAATAGGTACTTCGAAGGGTGAAAAGCTATATACCGTACATTCATTTAACTATGCACCATACATAAGGATTTATGTGGTCAGCTTTACACCGTACACAACGCTTCCTTTCAGAATAAAATATCGAAAAATAACATATATATGAAAGATTTCAATGCCAATTATTGAAACAGCTATACTTATAACGCACACACAGTGGCCTTCTATCAGAAAAAGAGTTGCAATGAATAAAGAATCATATCGGATGAGACAAGCGCCAACTTCTTTGACAAGTACATTGTATTTGCACGTTTTTAGTAAGCGCTCCTGTTTTGGGAAAATAATGAGACTTCTCTAATCATCAACCTACGACCAAATCATTTCTTAAAACAACAATTATGTTTAGATTGAAGTACATATTAATATTATGCAAACAAAACAAAGATTTTCTTACCGTGTCAGAAGAAAAATTGATCACGACCTCTTGGTTAGTACCTATATCCGCTGTACCAATGATACACGGTATATTTTATTTTTCAAAATCTGCATACTTGATATACTGTTTATACTAAAAATGTTCAGAGTGACAATATTGTAATAATTTAAAACTGTTTTTAATTATTCAATATTGGGCTAATTTGTCTTCCTTTAGAACATTTACTTACACTATAAGTCAACAAACTTTACATAAAATTTTATATTATCTTCATAACTCATCATCCAATTAAATTTTTCAGATTTTACAGTTGGGTAAAATTAGGACATTGTAAACTGATAGCATTGATGAGTTTACAACCCTCAACCTTATACTTTGTACAAGTCAGTAAAAAATGGTACTCATGTTCTACCTCGCCAGATGAGTAATGAATACATAATCTATTTTGCCTTAAAATACCTTGATATCTTCCTAACTCTAGTCTATGAGCTGATATTCTGAATCTGGTGAATATTCTTCTCTGTCCAAAATCTTTTGTAATTGTTACATATTTTCAAATCCAAAGTTTTGTTTAAACTTGAAGTAAAATTGAGAATGGAAATGGGGAATGTGTCAACATGGTCAAAGAGACAACAACCCGACCATAGAGCAGACAACAGCCGAAGGCCACCAATGGGTCTTCAACGCAGCGAGAAACTCCCGCACCCGGAGGCGTCCTTCAGCTGGCCCCTAAACAAATATGTATACTAGTTCAGTGATAACAGTCGTCATACTAAACTCCAAATTATACACAAGAAACTAAAATTAAAAATGATACAAGACTAACAAAGGCCAGAGGCTCCTGACATGGGACAGGCGCAAAAATGCGGTGGGGTTAAACATGTTTTTTGAGATCTCAACCCACCCCCTATACCTCTAGCCAATGCAGAAAAAACAAATGCGCAACAGAACGCACAGTAAAACTCAGTATAAGAGTCCGATGTCAGAATAGGAAACAAAAGAAAATAAACAAAATGACAATACATTTGTAATACATAAATAACAACAAACTACTAGCAGTTACTGACATGCCAGCTCCAGACCTCAATTAAACTGATTGAAAGATTATGTCTTCATCATATGAATATCAGGCACAATCCCTCCTGTTAGGGGTTTAGTATTATACCGTCATAAAATATATGAGAAGAACATAACCCGTGTCATGCCAACAACTGGTTTTAGAATAAATGTGTTTAATTCCGATGCAAAGACCCTATATCAATATTAAAGCCAAAAAATGCAGTCTTTAATAACCTGACAACAGTATCGTAACTATATCCCTTCTTAATAAGTCTGTTTAAAGGTTTTGTTAGCTTTTGAGGTGAATACTGACATTTTTGTGCTTTGTAAAGAATATTACCATAAAAGATTGGCTGTGAAATACTCGAACGTATAAGATGTCTGCATGTTGAGTTATATTTACGAATGATGTCCTTATACCGATGATAAAATTTAGTAAATGTTTTGACTAGTTTATGATATCGAAAACCCTGGTGTAATAATTTTTCAGTAATACATAAATTTCTCTCGCTAAAATCTAATATGTTGTTACATACACGAGCGAATCGTACAAGTTGAGATATATAAACACCATAAGATGGTGACAAGGGAACATCACCATCTAAAAATGGATAATTAACGATAGGAAATGAAAAATCATCTCTTTTATCATAAATTTTTGTATTAAGCTTCCCGTTAATGATATAGATATCAAGTTCGACGAAAGGACAGTGGTCATTGTTAGTATTAGCTTTATTTAAAGTAAGTTCAACAGGATAAATTTCTTTAGTATACATACTGAAGTCTTCATTATTGAGAGCCAATATATCATCCAAATATCTAAAAGTATTGTTAAATTTTTGTATCAGATGTTGTTTCGATGGGTCTTTGCTGATTTTAGTCATAAATTGTAACTCATAACAATACAAAAACAGGTCCGCAATAAGAGGTGCACAGTTAGTCTCCATTGGAATTCCGATAACTTGACGATATACGGAATCTCCAAAGCGAACAAAAATGTTATCAAGTAAAAATTCAAGGGCAGATATAGTATCAAAGCATGTCCAATTGACATAGTGCTTTTGTTTGTTGCTACTAAAAAATGACCTAAAAGAGTTTGAACATATGTATTCGCATTCCGACTTTTTAAATGCCCATTTAATTAGGTGTGTGAATTTTTTCTTAATAAGAATATGAGGCAAAGTGGTATATAGGGTAGAAAAGTCAAAACTTTGAACAGATTCAAAATCACCAATATATGCATGCAATTTATCAAGTACTTCTAACGAGTTTTTGACACTCCAAAAGTAATTAATTCCACTATTTTCAAAGGCCTTATTTGAACAATTTATTATCAGGTTTTTGATTGTACCAAGTGTACAAGTAAGTAGAATAGACAATTTAGTAGTGGAACAATGACTTGAAGATGAAATAAATCTATATTTGTAAGGTGATTTGTGTAGCTTCGGAAGCCAGTACATAGTTGGGACTTTCATTTTATTTGGTTCTGCTTGTAAAGAAGTAGCTAATAGTTTATGTTTGTTACAGATATCGTTTTCTGAAAATGAAGTCAGTTGGAAAGTTGGTGAATTCGTGATTTCCTTTTGCAGAACCTCAATGTAAAATTTACGTCAAACTATAATGATATTATTAGCAGCTTTATCAGCCGGGACAAAAACAAATTCCTTGGCTAGTTCTTTTAGTTTATGTTTGATACGAGAAATAGGATTTTTATGGTTGTTGTTAAGAGTAAAATGTTCTTTAAAATGTTGTATACGTATATCAACTATCTTCATTACTGAATTAAAAAAAGAGTCCAAAGATTTTTTGTCAGCTTTTTCCCATTTTATCCATTTCAAACAGTAAGCACAAAGTGAGTCGTGGATGATATAACGACACTCATTCCAATTAATAATTGACGGGGGGCGATATTTAGGTCCTTTACTGAGGAATGATTTTAACTTTCGGTCACGAACGATGTTAAGGTCTGTTATAACATGGGAAATGGGGCCATAAGTGTACTCAGAATTACTACAATTACATGATGTAGGTGTATTTTCACTGATATTTACATCTTTACAGACTTGGCTATAATTAAACACAAATTTCCGGGTAGATTTCTTGTAAATATAACAGGACGATCAATTTTGGGAAACAGTTTAGAATAACAATATGCCATTATAATTTGAACGATTTCATACTTAGGACTGCAATATGAAATTGTGTGGCAATCCTCTCAAATTTTATTTAATTTATTTATAGGTAAAGAACAGAGCTTGGTTAATAGATAATGTCTGCCGTTGTTTTTTGAAATAGAAATTAAGTCCGAAATATTTGTATGGTTGGTCCGAAATTTTCTAAGCGGTGCCAATATTTAAGTATTGCATTGACAACATTCAAATGTGTGGGTAGTCTGCCAAGCTCCAACAAGGAGGCAAAATTAGAAATCTATTTTCTTACAACCAAAAACAAATTTAAAGAATTTCTCACTTGCAAAGCTTCACATTTAACATGTTTAAGTCTTTTATAAATTTCATCTATGGACAAATTAGGGATTTTTCAAATCTTGTCGTAAGGGGATTAAAGTTACATAAATTCACAACCATATACATGTAATAATAATGCATGTAATGAAATTTTGTTTGAAGGACAATGAGAAATAAATTCCTTGCACATTTTAAAATAAGCTTTTAGACCCTTCTGATAAAGTTCATTTTGAGCATAGGAGAAAGATCCAGATGAACATATATAAATGCCAAGATGTTAACATTTTGCTACACATTCAACTTTTCTAATGTATTTGAAATTATATCTGAGATGTTTGCCTGCTCTATCGATTGTTTCAGATAAATTTACCACTCTTTCCAAAACTTATCTTAAATATCTAGAAGACCATGTGGTGAGGAGAGCTGAACAATATCATCTACATACATGTATATACACTAAACAATGTGTAGGCATCTGAGAGTTTATATGTCTTAATCTATATATTATCAATAAGTGTTTTAATATTTTATAATAGAAATATTTGTTCAACAATTCTTCCATATCATCATATATTATTATAAAGTTACAAAACGACCTAGTTAGTACCAAATCGACTAGGTACGAAACAACCAGGTTACGAAACGACCTGCACCCACACAGAACAATTTTATGATGAAAATAAGGCCACAATTGGCAAATGCAGGTAGTTACACAACAAAATTCATGTTCTTTGGCACAAAAAACATTGAAAGCAAGGAAACAAAAATTAGCCTATATCTTTGTAACCTTATTTCTTACCCAATCTGCTCCTGTTGCACTAAGTTTTGATTTAGTTGATATTTTTTCTCCAAGTCTAGACTGAACTATGATCTGCAAACTCTTGTAGATGAGAAATTTGGTAAATTTTTCCAAGTCTTTCCTATCTTGATTACTTAACTTTGACCCAGACATAATGATAGTAATGTACCAATACCAATAATAACTATTTTCAACACTTGAATCAGTTTGATGAACCGAAGTACATGTATGTCAAACCTAAATTCGACACTTCCTGGCGATTTAAATCAATGACAATATGTCATTTGAACCATTTAAGACCAAGCAAATAATTTGCGATAATTATGCGCCAAAATAATTTTGTAACTTAAGTATATTCGCTTAAAATCTAAGCTTTGTTTCCACAATTTCGCTTTGTCAAGTGCCATGTTTACACGTTGAAATTTAAAAGGTCAAGGTTAAAGTTCTTCCCAATCCGTGTAACTTAAACGTTTGGAAGAAAGAAGAATCTTCTCATTTTTCTCCATTTTTAAAGAAAGTCATACACCATGAATTTACAGAATAGCCGTAAACCGAAAATGGGCTCCCAAGGAAACAATGGATTACTGTTCCAAATCACCATCAATAAACTGGCTAAGATGATGCTTTTTCTTCCATTTTTTGGAGCAGCATTTTGCATTATTTGGTCGATTATTTACGATTTTGAATCTTCAACCTCAACACATTGCAGGGTATGTATGCTACGTATAACTATAAGCCTCCTTTCACTAGGAGCACCACCATGAGTTATGGTGTAAAAGAGGATATTTAGCACACTGTATCGGCACAGATTTAATGTGAGCATTTGACTACCTAGTTCCCTAGACTGGCCGTGACGGGACTTACTTCCAGAAATTTAACCTCCCCAAAAACATGAATAAATACAATGCAGTAAAACATACGAACACACCCACTCACCTGATTCGCTCATCCTCAAAAAGTAAAAAGTGTAAAATAGAAGTGCAAAATATATACAAAATAAGAGAAAAGGTAACCTGGATGCCGCAGAAATGCCATGGCAACAAACTGGAAACCGATAAGGACATACTTGGATCCAAACCTACATGTACATACTTGGATCCAAACCTATACCGCTAAATGCCCAACTGTATTCCTGGTAGAGGAAAGCTGAAAATCCTACATTAAAGAATCTCTTAAAGAAACAACCGATCCATTAGGGGAACGGGTAACACAAAAGACTGAATGATGCGTCATTATCCGAATAACACCTGGAATGACCAAATGACACCTGAAATTTTAATTGTAGCACATGATATTGGTGACTTTTAAACATTGATTAATAAATAATATTTTATTAGAAGTTTATAATATAACATATATTTATTTTATAGAAGCAGGTAAGTTCATAGCTATATCATGATAATTTAGTGGATACATCCAACATGGCGACTAAGGAAGGGTTGCACTAATGACAGGAAGATTGACTGGATAGTGTTTATATTTGGAGACCTTTGAGATACTAAACTTTAATTTACGAAAATCTAAAAAAAAAAAAAAATTTTATATATATTTTTAAGCAAAAAAAGTTGACCAGACAGATTTCACAGTCGCAGATACATGTACGCTTCGAATATATTGACATGATCGACAAAAAGTGTTATTATCTCTTTTGTTTTACAATTTTTTTCATGAAATTAAAATCTTCCAGGTTAATCATGTTAATGAATATATGATATGAAAATTTAAACCTTTATAGTGAAAAAAAAAAATTTTCTACAAAAAAAGTTGACCAGATGGATTTTACTGCTTCGAATAACAGTGACCTGATCGACAGAAAGTGTTAATAATTCCTTCATTTTTCAATATATTTTCCTAAAATTAAGAAACCTTGAAGATAAACTTATATTTTATATGAAAATATAAACTTATCCAAAAAACTTATATTTTTGAGCCCAAAATGTTGACCTGAGCCAGATCACCGACACATTAAAAGGGCGCATTGCATTTGCATGCATTTGGGGATTAAATTATTTACGTTTGCACGCAGTTTTTGATTACATTAAATTTCACAAACAGCATGAACAGCAAAAACCCTCAGACATCAAATAGATTGGTCTGATAGTTTCCCACATGAAAACTACTAATGGATCCCATCTGACCACATGTCTCAAAAAACCTGACAATATCTGCAGAAACTTTCCTCAACAAAAAAAATATAATCCAAAACATAAAATATACGATGTAAGAATAATAATATTTTTCCATGAAACCAATTTGACAAAACAATTTTCAATGATGTTGACGGATTTTCTCTGCAAAAATGTTCATTACCACTCACATCGGCATGCTTGTAGGGCATGTAGGGTCAGTTGAGAAATGATACGAACTCTGGATATATAATCAGGACAATAAAAAAAAATTACAGTCATGATAGTAATTTCGTTACTTAAACATCTCCAAACCATGACAAATAATAAACATTACCATAACTATTTTGTACCATTTAAAAGTCATTTAATTTATGAATGTTATTTAGACAGGTCTTCTTTACGTAAATCTGATCCTGATCCTGAGGTCAAAATTGACATAACTTGTCTCTCTGTACTAACTTTTGTACGCCCGTTTACGGGACGTATTATGGTATACCGTTGGACATTAACTCAAAAACGCTTTAACCAATTTGCATAAAACTTTGGTAAATTGTTTATATCTATTGACGTGAACTCCCTTTCGTTTTTTATAAATTTTAGATTTTACGTTTCCGAGTTATGGGGTTTTATTCATTAAAAAAGGGGGATTTTCCAGTTTTCGGACAATAACTCAAGAATGCTTTCACCAACTTTCAAAAAATTGTGGTAAATTGTTTTTATCTATTGACATGAGCACCCTTTCGATTTTTATATATTTTAGATAATCATATTACGTTTCCGAGTTACAGGGTTTTATTCATAGAAAAAGGGGGATTTTCCAGTTTTAGGACAAAAAATCAAAAATGCTTTCAGCAGTTCTTGTGAAACTTTGGTGAATTGTTTATATCTATTGATGTAAGCTCCGTTTAGAATTTTATAAATTTTACATTTTACATTTCTGAGTTATGGGGTTTTATTCATTAAAAAAGGGGGGATTTTCAAGTTTTCGGACAATACCTAACTCAAAAATGCTGTCAGCAATTCTCATGAAACTTTGGTGAATTGTTTATATCTATTGATGTAAGCTCCCTTTACATTTTGATAAATTTCTAATATGACATTGAGAATAGATTGAACTTTAATGGTTTATAGTCTGACAAAAGATTTACAAAGTATTGCGCAACAGCACAGTGTATTGCACAACAGCAAGAAATCTTTAATTGAATATAAATTCAATTCATGTAACCAATTTCAAGTTCTTTGACTACATTTATTCAGAAACCTATAATATGTCAAGTATTTAATACAATCCAAATTCAGACCTGTATCAAACTTGAATATTGTGTCCATTTTTGCTCCAACTGTTCAGGGTTGGACCTCTGCGGGCGTATCCAGCTGCGCTCAGCGAAGCAGTTTATTTCCTTTCATGATACACCGTTGCTCATGGAACTTTCTCGTGTTAAATCCCTCCAACGTTGGAGCACACACAGCTAGCTGTGTTCCCTTTACGGATCAGTTGAGAATTAACGTATTCACTTAAAAGTAATTTCAAAGTGTAAATGTTGAAAAAATCCTCCACAGGAGCGTTGCATATGCACATAAACTATTTACAGGAATGTACATATTATATACACTTAGCAATTATACTTTCGCCAAGATGAAGATTAGATATGAGAAGAAATTTCTAGCTAAATAAAATCTATGAATGGTCGACACTGATTTAACGGTTGATGATACTGGATAGTGGTTAGGTGTTAAAAGTCATCATTCACAAATAAAGGTTATGCATAAGTATTGAGTAAGTCTAAAAGATCTGCATAATGCATATGTTATCGGCGGATGATTGTTAGCTATGTTTGACCTCTCTGTTTAAAAAGCAATGATCTATATTTGGGGAGTAATAGTCTTACTAAAATTTTGAAAAAGTCTAGCTATATGCACATTCCTATGCAGAGGCTTATAGTTATTGTATAATAATAATATGCAAACAGATATTAAATGCAGCAGTTAGTTAAGCATACAGTTCACACTAAAGTTAGACGGCTACTATCATTGTATGTAATTATAGATAATATACATATACCAAATAGTCTTAATGGGGAGCTGTGAAACCCTGGGGAACATATGTTTGGTAAATATTCTCTTTTTGTGAATTTCATGACAGTAAATTCTGGAAATGCTTTCAATCTTGGTTTTGGAAGATCATCATAATAGACATATTTACACTTGTATGCCCATTTTTCTGTCAATACTTAAATCACACAACTTCCCGAAAACTTTGACATCACAATTTTAAAAAATGATTGTCAAATCAAATGAAATCAAATCATGTTATTGGTGTAAAATCCAAATATTGGGTTGTTACCAAGACAAACATGACAATATTTACAATCATACAATATTTAAATTCAAGCAACATTCATATTATATAAGTATCTCGTATATTTAGATATTTTGGAGGAGGTGATACTTTTGCAAATTTGGAAGTAAAAGTACAATATTCTTGTTATAAAATATAACATAACAAATATATATGAAAAATAGAAAATAATCACAAATTTGTATTACATAATTAGTTTTTCATGTCAGCTAGGCTATTTCTTAGTACATATAAATCATTAATCCCCTTAACCATAATTTTAGTTATGTCATACTCATTAAATGTAAACATAAATGTAAATTTTTCCTCATCAGAGTGACAGACATTTTGTTGAAAGATGGAACTATACTCTCTACTTCCTGGAAAAGTTTTTGCCTACGTTTTTCTAAAATTTCGGACATTTTAAAGCAAAATGATATTCATCTTCCAGCCCTTTTTATACGACCGCAAAAAAAATTTTGTGGTCGTATATTGGTATGACGTTGGCGTCGTCGTCGTCGTCGTCGTCGTCGTCGTCCGGCGTCGTCGTCGTCGTCCTGCGTCGTCCGAAGACACATTGGTTTTCGCACTCTAACTTTAGTTTAAGTGAATGGATCTCTATGAAATTTTACCACAAGGTTCAATACCACAAAAGGAAGGTTGGGATTGATTTTGGGGGTTATGGTACCAACAGTAAAGGAATTAGGGGCCAAAAAGGGGCCAAAAATAAGCATTTTTGTAACTTCCAGACATAACTTGTGTGTTAGTGTATGGATCTCTCTGACATTGTACCACAAGGTTCCATATCACAAAAGGAATGCTGGGATTGATTTTGGGGGTAATGGCCTCAAAATTTTAGGAATTAGGGGCCAAAAAAGGGGCAAAACACAAGCATTTTTCTAGTTTCATGACAATAACTTGTGTGTAAGTGTATGGATCTTTCTGAAATTGTACTACAAGGTTCCATATCATAAAGGGAAAGCTGGAATTGAGTTTTGGGGTAATAGCCGAAATATTTAGGAATTGGGGGCCAAAAAGGGGCCAAAAATAAGCATTTTTCTAGTTTCCAGACAATAACTTGTGTTCAAGTGTATGGATCTCTCTGAAATTGTACTGCAAGGTACCATACCACAAAGGGAAGGCTGGGATTGATGATGGGGATAATTGCCTCAATATTTTAGGAATAAGGGGCCAAAAAGGGGCAAAAAAACAAGCATTTTTACAGTTTCAGGACAATAACTTGTGTGAAAGTGTATGGATCTCTCTGAAATTGTACTGCAAGGTACCATACCACAAAGGGAAGGCTGGGATTGATGATGGGGGTAATTGCCTCAATATTTTAGGAATTTGGGTCCAAAAAGGGGCCAAAAAACACATTTTTCTAGTTTCCAGACAATAACTTGTGTTCAAGTGTATGGATCTCTCTGAAATTGTACTGCAAGGTACCATACCACAAAGGGAGGCTGGGATTGAGTTTGGGGGTGATGAATCATAAGGGGGTTCAAAAAATTTGGGGGGGGGATTTTTTTTTTTTTCATTTTTTTTCTTTTTTTCATTTTTTAAAATTTTTCTTTTAAAATTTTCCATTTTAAGTTGGTTATTTCTGATTTATATTTAAAAGCAAATAATAATGATATGGTAGGAGATACACACCAAACAGGATGTGTAAATTATTATATAATAAGTATTGTGCAATAGCAAGAAATTTTCAATTGCACAGTATTGCACAATAACAAGAAATCTTCAATTGCACAGTATTGCGCAATAGCAAGAAATCTTCAATTGCACAGTATTGCGCAAAAGCAAGAAATATCCAATAGCACAATATTGCGCAATAGCAAGAAATTGTCAATTGTACAGTATTGCGCAATAGCAAGAAATATTTAATTGCACAGTATAGTGCAAAAGAAGATACTTTGTATAAATTGCTTATTTCTTGACCAATTTCAATGGGGTTTTATTCTTGAATTCTTGGGGTTCTTTAATATGCTGAATCTAACCGTGTATATAGTTTTTGGATTTTGGGCCCCGTTTTTAAATTGGTCCACATTGAGGTCCAAAGGGTCCAAAATTAAACTTTGTTTGATTTCATCAAAAATTGAATTATTGGGGTTCTTTGATATGCCGAATCTAACCGTGTATTTAGATTCTTAAATTTTGGTTCCGTTTTCAAATTGGTCTACATTACGGTCCAAAGGGTCCAAAATTAAACTTAGTTTGATTTTAACAAAAATTGAATTCTTAGGGTTCTTTGATATGCTGAATCTAAACATGTATTTAGATTTTTGATTATGGGCCCAGTTTTCAAGTTGGTCCAAATCGGGGTCCAAAATTAAATGTGTTTGATTTCAACAAAAATTGAATATATGGGGTTCTTTGATATGCTGAATCTAACCATGTATTTAGATTTTTGATTTTTGGGTCCCGTTATCAACTTTGTCCACATTGAGGTCAAAAGGGTCCAAAATTAAACTTTGTTTGATTTCATCAAAAATTGAATTATTGGGGTTCTTTGATATGCCGAATCTAACCGTGTATTTAGATTCTTAATTTTTGGTTCGGTTTTCAAATTGGTCTACATTAAGGTCCAAAGGGTCCAAAATTAAACTTAGTTTGATTTTAACAAAAATTGAATTCTTAGGGTTCTTTGATATGCTGAATCTAAACATGTATTTAGATTTTTGATTATGGGCCCAGTTTTCAAGTTGGTCCAAATTGGGGTCCAAAATTAAACTTTGTTTGATTTCAACAAAAATTGAATATATGGGGTTCTTTGATATGCTGAATCTAACCATGTATTTAGATTTTTGATTTTTGGGCCCCGTTATCAACTTTGTCCACATTGAGGTCAAAAGGGTCCAAAATTAAACTTTGTTTGATTTCATCAAAAATTGAATTCTTGGGGTTCTTTGATATGCTGAATCTAACCATGTATTTAGATTTTGGATATTGGACCATAATAGGTGAATGTCCAATTTAAAATTTTTAAGTTCTTAGACCACATTCATTCTTTGTCAGAAACCTATGCTGTGTCAAATATTTAATCACAATCCAAATGCAAAGCTGTATCAAGCTTGAATGTTGTGTCCATACTTGCCCCAACTGTTCAGGGTTCGACCTCTGCGGTCGTATCAAGCTGCGCCCTGCGGAGCATTTTATTTACAGAGGGGACATAAAATCTTTTTTCCAGAGGTATATGACGGTGTCTACCCTGTTCAAAATTTAGATTACTATTACTTAATTTGATTTTAATGAAATAAGATATCATGTATCAGTCTAAATCTATTAATACATTATTTTCTAATTTGTAATCATTTATTAATTTTCTGTATGTTCTTAGTTTGTTTCCATTAGGGTTATTTTAGTCATTAAAAGACTGTTTTTCTAGAAATCTGTATATCTTTCAACTAATTTGTTCCCTATGGCATTAATCAGGCATTTTTTTGAGAAAGTATTTTGATTTTCCCATACATGATTGAATCCTATTTTGAAAGAGCATTTTCCAATTTGGCTGCAAGGCCATTAGGTAAATTTAAACTACATTTATAGGCATTTGAAACATAACTGTCTTCTTTTGCATTTATCAAATGGCACCAAAACCCTACAGAAGCCTTTAAAGCATCAATAGCAATAGGTAACATACCTATTTCTGCTAAAACTGCTGTGTTAACTGCAGCTTTATTTACACTAACAAGATATTTAGTAAATTTTATTTGAAATTTTGATGGCAAAAATGATAAATATCTACATTCAAGACTTGAATTGTCTTTAACTATCATATTAAGTGCCCATATTTCACTGCAATAAAGTAGCTATATATATAGTATAGGTTTCAAACAACTTTCAAACAGTTTTAAATGTGGATAAATATTAAGTTTATCGGAGAATAAATGCTTTCTGATGCAAAACATTGCCTTTGAAGCTTTTTTGCACAGATGATTAACCGCATAAGAGAAAATTCCTGAAGGCTTAAATAAAATTCCCAAATATTTGTATTCATTGGTCAAATCAACTGTCTGTTCATTGAATTAAAAGTTGTAATTTTTTAGGACTTTACCTGATTTATTACAAATCATAACATTAGTTTTGTTTAGGTTTACAGTTAAATTCCACTTATCGAAGTAAGTGCTGAGTTTGTCTAAACATCGTTGTAAGCCAGACTCTGATTGTTGCTTGAGGTCAGAAGGTTATTTGGAGACAGAGGTAAGGTCATTAGGAGACCTAATTCAGCTAAATACCAAAAAGTGTAAATATGTCTATTAAATGGGCATTATATCCCAAAACAGGTATCAATTTTCAGTGATAAAATATAAACTTTGGATTTCAAGATATTTGCTGTCATGGCGCAAACATTCAGGTAAATGATCACGTTTTGCCCAAAGACACCATTACTGAAATATCATCTAGATAAAAGTTAATAGTCTTAAAAAAGTTCAGGATTTGGAGGCCAATATCTCTATATTCAGTTCTACTTTGAAATTGTCTTAAATGGAAAAATGTCATTTATATGAATATCTGTGCCATGACAGCCATTTCATGATTATGATGAACTACAAAATTCTATTTCTTATCACTGTAAATTGATACCAGATTTTGGGTATGATATCCATAAATGGGGATAGTACTAGTCCAAATAGTTATGATGTCTTCATAATTGTTTTAATATGTCAGGATCTTCCCCAATATGTTAGAAGGTCCATAGATTGACCCCAAGTTTCCCCAAAACACCAAAAGTTACCTAAAAAAACATACAGAATATTAGTTAAGTTTACATCAATTGTAATTATTTGAAACATTTGTGACAATTATTTTGTATATATACATGATATACAAAGCCATTGTTTTAATTAAATTTATATGAATTTTTAGTAAATTCAATTTTACATAATTTTGATGTGAGATAACATATTAATTTGGCAGAAAAACTAATATGAAGGTTTAATCTTATTTCAATTTTTTATGTGCACCATGTAGATGTGGTTCCACATTTTGAGATTTGTTACAGACAGTTAATTGATTGGGGAAAGGGGGGGGGGGGGGGGGGGGGGGGGTTCTCAAACAACAAATGGATAATAATAATACATAGCAAGTACAGCTTAAAGGATATATTCAATGTTTGACAAATTAATTATACATGCGCCATATCACATAAACAGACATATAATGAAATGTTAACTACATTTAAATACATTAAATCACTCTTATACATAGTACAATATCAAGTATAACGCAGAGTATGACATACATAGAATTGTTCAAAATTAGAAGTGTAGTTTCTCAGCTGATTTTAAGTATTTACCAAGATTGTTTATAAGTTCTTTATTATTTTGTACAGATAACAATTGTATCAATTTATAAGTAGACATGGTAGACTGACCGTGCAAGGGCTGTATAGCCAGTCAAGGTCATTAAATACTAACATCATCAATAATATTGGACTAACTAATGAAATTTTTAAAGTTTCAATCACTTAGCATGCTTAGTTTAACCAATCATGAAATTATTGTTATTATTAACAACATAAGTTTGCTCCCATTACTTATCATGCATATATATGTTTATTACTACAGATATGATGTGTATAATTATATGATAAAAAAATTCCAATTTCTATATCATAGCATATTTTTTACTTTTATTTTATTTAGTTTCGCAGCAAGGTAACCTTGAAAACAAGATGAAAACACTTACCATGGTAGTTTTGATATGGGTTAACACCTAATGACATTTTCTGAATTCATTTGTGAAAAAAAACTCATTGAATGTTCAAAATTAAAATTAAAAAAACAGATCCTGTTGTCATGGTTTTTGTCGAGCCTGCGACTTTTGTCGCAGAAAGCTCGACATAGGGATAGTGATCCGGCGGCGGCGGCTACGGCGGCGGCGGCGTTAGCTAACTTCTTAAAAGCTTTATATTTTAGAAGGTGGAAGGTCTGGATGCTTCATACTTTGTATATGGATGCCTCATGTTACGAAGTTTCCGTCAGTCACGTGTCCAATGTCCTTGACCTCATTTTCATGGTTCAGTGACTACTTGAAAAAAAAGTTAAGATTTTTTGTAATGTTAGATTCTGTCTTATTATAAGTAATAGGATAACTATATTTGGTATGTGCGTACCTTGCAAGGTCCTCATTCCCGTCAGACAGTTTTCACTTGACCTCGACCTCATTTCATGGATCAGTGAACAAGGTTAAGTTTTGGTGGTCAAGTCCATATCTCAGATACTATAAGCAATAGGTCTAGTATATTCGGTGTATGGAAGGACTATAAGGTGTACATGTCCAACTGGCAGGTGTCATCTGACCTTGACCTCATTTTCATGGTTCAGTGGTTATAGTTAAGTTTTTGTGTTTTAGTCTGTTTTTCTTATACTGTATGCCATAGGTCTACTATATTTGGTATATGGAATGATTGTAAGGTGTACATGTCTAGCGGGCAGGTGTCATCTGACCTTGACCTCATTTTCATGGTTCAGTGGTCAAAGTTAAGTTTTTGAGTTTTGGTCTTTTTTTTCTAATACTATGTGCAATAGTTCAACTATATTTGGTATGTGCGTACCTTGCAAGGTTCTCATGCCCGTCACACAGTTTTCACTTGACCTCGACCTCATTTCATGGATCAATGAACAAGGTTAAGTTTTGGTGGTCAAGTCCATATCTCAGATACTATAAGCAGTAGGTCTACTATATTTGGTATATGGAATGATTGTAAGGTGTACATGTCTAGCGGGCAGGTGTCATCTGACCTTGACCTCATTTACATGGTTCAGTGGTCAAAGTTGAGTTTTTGAGTTTTGGTCTTTTTTTCTAATACTATGTGCAAAAGGTCAACTATATTTGGTATGTGCGTACCTTGCAAGGTCCTCATGCCCGTCAGACAATTTTCATTTGACCTCGACCTCATTTCATGGATCAGTGAACAAGGTTAAGTTTTCGTGGTCAAGTCCATATATCAGATACTATAAGCAGTAGGTCTACTATATTTGGTATATGGAATGATTGTAAGGTGTACATGTCCAACTGGTAGGTGTCATCTGACCTTGACCTCATTTTCATGGTTCAGTGGTCAAAGTTGAGTTTTTGAGTTTTGGTCTTTTTTTCTAATACTATGTGCAAAAGGTCAACTATATTTGGTATGTGCGTACCTTGCAAGGTCCTCATGCCCGTCAGACAATTTTCATTTGATCTCGACCTCATTTCATGGATCAGTGAACAAGGTTAAGTTTTCGTGGTCAAGTCCATATATCAGATACTATAAGCAGTAGGTCTACTATATTTGGTATATGGAATGATTGTAAGGTGTACATGTCCAACTGGTAGGTGTTATCTGACCTTGACCTCATTTTCATGGTTCAGTGGTCAAAGTTGAGTTTTTGAGTTTTGGTCTTTTTTTCTAATACTATGTGCAAAAGGTCAACTATATTTGGTATGTGCGTACCTTGCAAGGTCCTCATGCCCGTCAGACAATTTTCATTTGACCTCGACCTCATTTCATGGATCAGTGAACAAGGTTAAGTTTTCGTGGTCAAGTCCATATATCAGATACTATAAGCAGTAGGTCTACTATATTTGGTATATGGAATGATTGTAAGGTGTACATGTCCAACTGGTAGGTGTCATCTGACCTTGACCTCATTTTCATGGTTCAGTGGTCAAAGTTAAGCTTTTGAGTTTTGGTCTTTTTTTTCTAGTACTATAAGCAATAGATCAACTATATTTGTTGTATGGAAGGATTGTAAGGTGTATATGTATGTCTGGCAGGTAAGCAATAGGTCAACTATGTTTGGTTTATTGAATGATTGTAAGGTGTACATGTATTTCTCGTTTGGTTTATCTGACCTTGACCTCATTTTCTTGGATCATGTTAAGTTTATGTGTTACTTGTAGTAAAGCTTTATATTTAGGACTGTCAACATAAAATCAATGGTTAGTAAAGAAGGCGAGACATTTCAGTGTGTGCACTCTTGTTATTCTTTAAAGTAAATCTTTTAGCTTTTTGATATTTTTGTATGAATTCAGTTTTTGTGTAATTTAATGAATTCATGGTAATTGTTGTTTTATATTGTGCATGTTGCTACAATAAAATAGCTTTTTATATATTTAGTATAATTTTACCATGGAAACTTCACATGATACTAACAAACATTTTCTAATTTGATAGGTAATTGAGAAAGGTTGTTTTTTAAAGTCCTGATTTAAAAAAAATTGTAAATAGATTTTAACATGTTTAAAGGAAATGTGTAGTTATCAATAATATAGAGGCTTTTTGTCTATAAATCTAATATTTGTCACTGGTCCTAGGAAATATGAATTATCCATGGTAAAAATATAGGAGCGTAATGTGTGTCATCAGTAATTTCTATGTTTCAAATTATTTCCAACATATGTAAATATATTTATATGCTCAAAACTATACCCAGGTTTCTTCAAATATATCTCTCATGTGTAAATTTTATCAACAGATTCTAGTTAAAATCCTTTAGTTTTTAAAAAGAATTTACATAATTCTCTTCAACTGAAAGTTGTGACAATATAATAGTACACAAGTTCTCTGTTTTTATTAGTTAAACAATCTAACTGCATGATATGTTTTACTTTCATCAATCTTTTTAGCCAAAGCATGTAAAATATTTTCTTTTAAGGTACATGCATGCTTTAACCCATCAACCACTGTTCATAGTTATTTAATCTTGCTTGTGCCAATAGTTCTAGTATCCTATGCAAGGAATGCTTCTATTTATTTATATATACATGTACTGTAAATTCAGAAATTTTTGTGTGCATTTATTATTACCATTTTCGAAGAATGGACATGAATGTAAGATAAATTATTGCAATTTCAGAAAATGCTGCATTCAAATAATGCCATCAAAATTAAAAGTGTCAGTTTTTATTTTTGTTATACCTCATTGTACCTGTTCTGTTGCATTTGCAATAATAAAAACATCACAAACATTTCTGAATTAACAGTGTCACCACCAACTGTTAAGTATTCAGTTTTCTGATGAGGTTGATTTCAGAATAAGTATTTATGATAGATAATTGATATTTTCTAAGCAGGTGATCTTAAGCATCCTGGCATTGCGATTTCATGCACCATAAGGCTGTACTCCCTTAGTTAGTAAAGTGTTTTCAGTTTAAAGTAGATCTTTTAGGGTTACAGTCATAAATTATTCTTCAGTGATTTGTGAATTTTTCCATCTATTTCCATGTTAAATTATTTTATTAGATGTGTTTATGAAAAAGTATTTATGCTAGACCATTGCGCGATGTTTGAAATGCTTCTTTAGCACTAACTCAATAATAATTTGTTTTCTGCTGTTTTTTTTACTTCCGATAACAATGCTCAATCTTAAATGTTGCTTTCAGTATTTGTATGTTTTTTTGATAACATTTATTTTAATATGATTTTAATTTTAAAAGAGCAACTCCACACTTCTATTTTTATTTAAAACTTTTTCACAGAAGATGGAAAAATTGTGATAAAAATTAAAATACATTGTAATATATACATTTGTACTTTTAAAAATTTGTATTGGTTTCTTTTTTTTCAGGTCCAAAATTACCTCCCTTCAATAAGTTCAGCTATAGGAGGCTACACACCTCAAAGATATGTATGGAGAATATGTATAGCACTTCACTGTAGTCCACGTTTCTTTATAACAGCAGGATACTACACATTTAACTCACAATTCCATGTGGGAACAAAGAACAATTTATACAAATTATTAGCAGGATTGTGTGCTATTTTGAACAGTATAGAAATCTTAGCTTTAGTTGTGTTGACTAATATATCTTCTACAGAAAATTTTAGTAAGTGATTTTCTATGAATATTTAAATTTTTTATATTTAATGCCAAATTTTTTTGACAACTGATCGAAGCATTATGAACATCATACACATCAAACTGTTAAATCAGTCAATGATACAGATATTATTATGCTTTGGTAATCCCCATAGGTTGTTAATGGCAGCTCATCAGTAGGCCTTCTTCATTTATTCATACTTTTTATTTCTGATTTAATTGATTCATTTATAATTATATTTTGGTGAATTAAGATGAAAGTTTTTTTTTTATATAAGTAAAAGGGATTTTGAGTGATTGTAAAAAAAATCATGTTAGGATATATATAAGATTGAGCATCAGAAGAAAAATTGGTCATTTAAGCCTATTTTCAATACTTTATTGACTTTGTCATTCATAACTCGACTTTTGTGTTGATTAAGTAGAGACAAAACATTCTATTTGCAGTTTTTGCCAGTTTGACAAAGTCCAAAACTGTCTTATAGTATGTTTTTATGTTTTCTACAAACACCCCCAAATTCACAAATTCTTAGCTTGATTTTACCTCTTTTAGTTGCTCTTACTTGACCCAGTACCAGAATGTCCTACCACAAGGTATATAACCTGTCAAAAAATTATATACTCTGGAATCAAAAGTCAGTACTATAAAAATAGTCAATTTGATAAAAAATGTATTGCTGGCTACTTTTGTAGAGCACTCACCTATAAAAAAAGTCCTTTTCAAGAGGAAAATAGACATAAAAAAGTTTGTTCTCTCACCCACATTTTATGGAGCAAATTTCCAAAGAACTAGATTTCAAATTGTCATGGCCTAACAATGTTTTTTTTGTACTTGTAGATGTTCATGAGAATTCTTTTATAACTTTCATGGTGACCTCAGAATTTTATATGTTATTTAGCTGTATAGTATTTAAATGGGGACGTACCAGTAATGGTAGACAGATGACTCCAAAAGTAAGTACATGTGTACTCCCACAAATTTCAACACTACAAAGTTGCAAGTGTAAAAAGCAAAATGAGAATTTTAAAGGAGGAAAGACTAAAGGCAAACAAAAGTTCATCCATGCTCTTCTTTTCAGGTTGTTTCTATATTGCCGAAGTTCTACCTCTGTTAGATTTTTATGCCCCTGCCGTAGCGGAGGGGGCATTAAGTGTTACCCTTGTCCATCCATCTGTCCGTCGCATACGTTCCCAAAATTGATTTCCGTTCTCTAACTTTAGTTTGCCTCAACCAAATGTTATAAAACTTATACACAATGCTTATTACCACAAAACAGATCAAGTTTGAAATTGGGTGGCGTCACTTTTAGTTTGTGACCCGGATTTGTTTCAGTTAAATTGATTTATGACTATTGAACAGTGGTATACTGCTGTTGCCTTTATTTACCGTTCCTGAGTTATGCCCCTTTATAAATAGAATAATTGCTAAATCTGTCGTTTCCGTTGTCTAACTTTAGTTTGCCTCAACCAAATGTTATGAAACTTATACACAATGCTTATAATCACAAAACGGTCTTAACTGCTATTTTGTGTACATATAAGTAATATCAAAATTTTAATGATTTTAGCAATTTAATTCACAAATATATGAATATGCTAATTACCTGTACATATTATTTGAACAGTCAAAAACTTTTCTTTGAATGTTCTATTATTGATGTACTGCAATATATGTTTATTTTTAGGAAAAGAAATCATTTCATTACAAAATTGCATTATTCCTGTTCAACATCAGTTGTTTCTTGACAGCAATTTACCTTTACTTCCGACATAATAGTTACTGTGAAGCTGGCGGTGAGTGAACTATATAATTATGTGATGTCTGTCATGGTATAATATAAATTTATGTATTGTATTTATTGATATATTGTATGGATTTCTGAACTGTTTCTATGATAGTTCATAACAGACTTTGTCTTGTTTTAAGAACTGGAATTGAAATCATATTTTAAGAGGGAAAACAAGAATCTTTTTAAAATGGGAAGATAGTAAAGAATGATTTCCAACTTTTCTGTAATAGTAGAATAAATCTATTTTAGTAGAATGCACAAACAAATCTGTTTATATATCACATTATTTTGTTAAATTTTGTCATCACTTGATTTGGTCATTATTATAGACAAGCTTTTCAAAACATCCTTTACTCAGAAACTTTTTTTGTATCTCCTATGACAAAAGTCTAAGAAAGCAAGACATAGGGATTGCTTTTTCGGCGACAATGACAACGATGGTGTGATGGCATCAACAATTGTTAAGTTTTCTGCTTAAGTTAGTTTGATAGGAACTTCTTGTGATAGCTCAATGATATTTTGTATGAAGTTGCTTTACTATCAGTATATATCAGTTTGATGATTATTTTGAGGCCCTGCCCACTAGGCCATAGTCCAGTGACTTTGAATTAATAAGCAATTTTAAATGTTAAGTTTTCTGCTTAAGTTAGATTGATAGGAACTACTGTGATAGATCAATGATATTTTGTTTGGAGTTGCATTACTATCAGTACATATCAGTTTGATGACTATTTTGAGGCCTTGCCCCCTAGGCAATGGTTCAGTGACTTTCAATTAATAAGCAATTTTAAATGTTAAGTTTTCTGCTCAAGTTAGATTGATAGGAACTACTGACAATAGACAACGATATTTTCTATAAAGTTACATTGCTGTCTGTACATCTCAGTTTGTCAACCATTTTGAAGCCCTGTCCACTAGTTCATGGTCCAGCGACATTGAATTAATTAGCAATGTTGCTGTCCATCAGATTGTCTTTTTCTGAATTTTATGCCGACAGGCGAGACATACTTCTGTGTCAACAGTTTATTATGTATTTTGTCTACTCTTGTCTTAAATGGTAATTTTTACCAGAGATATATCATTTCAAACACCTGCTTCCTGCCTTCAGCTATTGCACTTGCCATGCCATTATACTTAAAAGAATGTAATGCTAGTAAAAATGTGTAAGTTACTCCTTAGTAGAGATTAAGTTAAAGGTCTTGAATTTGGTAGCCATTATCCGAAAGTCATTAATATTTTTTTATGCCCTGAAAGGAATGGTGAAAGGCTAAAAGATTTACCCTTTAGTAAATATGATAGGTTGATTTATTATAAAGCTACTTGTAAATACAAGTAAACTTTATTGGCAATTGTTTTGTATAAGCCATCTGTGATGCTATGGATATCAGTCACTGTTGCATAAGCTTTATCAAACCCCAATAGAAAAAAACCCACCTGTTTTAAGTATATGAAAAAGTGAATATCAAATTTTGTTTTTTTTTCATTGTCACACCCCGTATATATTATAATGGTTGAGATTTGATATGGGTGTGATATTGAAAAGCCATTCAAAATTCTTCATTTATGTCACTTTATAAATTTTGTCCATGGGACAAAATAAAAAACATGAAAAATATTAAAAATGATGATAATTGTTCCCAAATCAATATATTGAGCACAACAATCTCAAATGAAGCACTATGATATATTTTCTTGCAGTGTATTCCCTGTTTTCCGCTTGTGAATACCTTGTTGTATTTACGAATATTGCATTCCATGCTACTACCATAATTGACTTTGAAGGAACAGTTAATACCATTGCTCCATCACAGTTGGTTGAAGATAAAATTTCAAAGCGATATCACTAGGTAAATCATGCACCGAAGAAAAATTGAGGCTCAAGAATGCTTTTTCTTTGTATGAATCTTTTAAAAATTGCTTTTTGTTTAATATAAGGAATCTATTGCATACATCTGCATGTTTATGTACATGGGTCGTCAGTTTCTATATACTTACAATCAGGTAATTCAGCTTTTAGGTGCATCTAATGAAGCCTTTCATTCATAACTACTGCTTTACTCTTGACATTATGAAAAAAAATTAAAATAATTAGACAACTGAACAACACAGCTAAACTAAGAAGACATTGAATTTATATCATGTATATTGGTGTCAAAATCTCTGATTGTTTTTACCATCAGTAACTTTGCAAGTGGTCTTCTTCTATGACTGTTTATACTTTTATATACTTTAATTTAAGTGATTTTAGTCAGGTTACATGTATGTTACTTGGCAGTTAACTGGTCATTTATTTACATATTAATTTATATCCTCACAAATGTACTTTGAATTTAAATTTGTTCTTCTTTTTTCTGTCCCCTGTGTGGTATCTAGTGTACTTGTGTAGTGTTTTTTTGAATCAAAGTCATATTCCACATAATTGACTGGTTCAAGGTCATTTCTTGAAGGCCAGGGTAACAGCTAATACCTGTGTTGAAATGATTTCCATACAATATCTTCATAGTCATGATGTGTCTGTTTTGCCATTCTTTTACTGAAAAAAGGGTTTACCAAATTGATACCTTTGACCTAAGGTTGGCTTTGACCATAAAAATTTAATATGATATAGGTCAAGGTAACAACAGCCTTTACATGTATTTAAATGAAGTCTGGGTCATATCTTTTGCCTAGATCTGAATAATGTTTTTAAAACACAACTGTTATACATGATATAAGCATCATTCCTAACCTTCATAAAAGGTCATGTATTGAAGGTAAAAACTTAAGTCACATCAAAATTAGGCCCATTAGATGTGATGAAATCATATCTCTGCCATGATTGTATGCTTGGCTTTTAAGTTTCACGGAACAGCTACCCAAGTTTAAATCTAGTTTAACCTAGTTTCACATCTGTTATATTAAGATTACAGCTTGTAAATTATCAATAACTCCAATAAGAGAATAAAAGAATACCATTCTTGAGCCATAGTGATGCCATAGATGTACAAACCCATACAATGGGTTTATACATCTATGGTGATACTAATTTTCAAAAATTTTAATCCAAATTGTGGCAGATTTTAGTTAGATTTAGTGATGTTTCTTTAATCTTTGTGTATATATATATATTTCTTCTTTATTAACACTTGTAACATATTTGCATTATGTGCAGATAATGAAATATAATTGAATAAGTGCAAACATATCACAACCAATCACTTCCTTCAGCCCTGGCTTAAACACACACACACCTGCACGCACAGTAACATAGGAAAGAAAAGTGTCTTACACATGTTAAATTGATTTGTTATATCTTTTCTTATTGGATCAAATTACTACAAACTTAACATTGTTGGTGGGATTGGTAAATTTAACAGGCTCCCTTTCAATTAAAATTTTATTCTAGTTTGTTGTTCACCAATTTCAATATGCATAAGACATATCATGAGCTCCTGACTTAATTGTGTATTATATAAATGCTTCTTTTGATTTTTTATTCCACTTCAAAGTCCCTTCTTGTTATATCATACATGTTTTAAATGGAACAATCATTACCAAAAATAAAATGAATTTTATATATATAAAGTTAATATATAAGTGGAGCATATTAATCATTTTGATTTTGAATATCTGCAAAAGAATGGAGATATATGTATAGCTACTCCAATAACTAAGCAGTCAGTATAATTTTAATCATTTTGATTTTGGATATCTGCATAAGAATGGAGATATATAGCAGTAAGTATAATAATTCGTCAATCTTTTAGTGTTCAGTATGTATAATCATGAATCATCTCTTTTTTTCAGTGTACAGTCAGTTCGCCTTCTTTGAATATCTGGTAGTGGTATCTAACATAGCATATCATTGGACAATGTGCTTAGATTTTGACGACTATGTTTTGGGATTGCGCAAATGCATTGAAAGCATGGAATTAACTATCATCAAAACTGTGTAGCATTTAGAACATTTGCAGACTTTTGTATTTTACTTAAATCAACAATGAAGATTATTACTTTCATAGATTGAATCAAATGCCAGGATTGGCAAATGAAAATACCCTATGTGTTTGACTTTTATACGCCCGTTTACGGGACGTATTATGGTATACCTTTGTCCTTCTGTTCGTCCATCTGTCTGTCCGTCCGTCGTCAACATGTCGGACATTAACTCAAAAACACTTTAACTAATTTGCATAAAACTTTGGTGAATTGTTTATATCTATTGACCTGAGCTCCCTTTCGTTTTTTATAAATTTTCGATTTTACATTTCAAAGTTATGGGGTTTTATTCATTCAAAAAGGGTGATTTTCCAGTTTTCGGACAATAACTCAAAAACACTTTCGCCAATTTGCAAGAAACTTTGTTGAATTGTTTATATCTATTGACATGAGATCCCTTTTGATTTTTATAAATTTTAGATTTTACGTTTCCGAGTTATGGGGTTTTATTCATTAAAAAAAGGGGGATTTTTCCAGTTTTCGGACAATAACTCAAGAATGTTTTCACCAACTTGCAAGAAATTGTGGTGAATTGTTTATATCTATTGACATGAGCTCCCTTTCGATTTTTATATATTTTAGATTTTACGTTTCCGAGTTACAGGGTTTTATTCATAAAAAAAGGGGGATTTTCCAGTTTTCGGACAAAAAATAAAAAAATGCTTTCAGCAGTTCTTATGAAACTTTGGTGAATTGTTTATATCTATTGATGTAAGCTCCGTTTAGAATTTTATAAATTTTTTCATTTATCATTTCTGTGTTATGGGGTTTTATTCATTAAAAAAAGGGGGGATTTTCCAGTTTTCGAACAATAACTTCAGCAGTTCTTATGAAACTTTGGTGAATTGTTTATATCTATTGTTGTAAGCTCTGTTTAGAATTTTATAAGTTTTTCATTTATCATTTCTGAGTTATGGGGTTTTATTCATTAAAAAAGGGGGGATTTTTCAGTTTTCGGACAATAACTCAAAAATGCTGTCAGCAATTCTCATGAAACTTTGTTGAATTGTTTATATCTATTGATGTAAGCTCCCTTTACATTTTCATAAATTTCTAATATGACATTGAGAATTAATTGAACTTTATTTGTTTATAGTCTGACAACAGATTTACTAAGTATTGCGCAACAGCACAGTGTATTGCACAACAGCAAGAAATCTTTGATTGAATATACATTCAATTCATATAACCAATTTCAAGTTTTTTTACTACATTTATTCAGAAACCTATAATATGTCAAATATTTAATTACAATCCAAATTCAGACCTGTATCAAGCTTGAATATTGTCCATTTTTGCCCCAACTGTTCAGGGTTGGACCTCTGCGGGCGTATCCAGCTGCGTTCAGAGAAGCAGTTTATTTATGATGATATATACTTAGAGAAGTGCGGGTTATAGTGATCATTGTGTCTTTCATTCATTTCTTCAATCATTTGTTTTCCATCCACACTTTGTACACACAAGTCCTAAACCACTTGCAATATTATGTTAAAACTTTCAGAAAGTCTTTTCTAATGGCATTGTGTATGTCCTAGTTTATTTTTATGCAAATCATTTTTAAGGGTTTCTAAAAAAGCAATACAAGAACAACATGTACAATATTATATAATTACTGTGAATATGTAGTACATATATGTAAATCAACCACTGAGCTTGGGACAAACAATTTTTTTTACCACTTTAATAATAAAAAAAGAAATATTTCACTGACATACAGAACTACTAAGTTTAAAAAACAATTTTGTTTTTATTTTTTCTTACTTTTAATAAAAACAAAGTTTTTTTTTTTTTCACTTTCCTCTGAAACAAAAGCAATTTTTTTGTTCAAGAAATTTAGAGTCAACCTATTTATTATAAAACAGACATGCCTCTTACAAAAAAATAATGGTTGGCAACTTATGATTTTCATTTACAAGAGTTAAATAGTTTCAATAATGAAAATTTAACTATAAAGTGTTATTTGGAATTATCATATGTTCCATTGTTCAGATTAGTAAAGACTGTTTTTCTATGGGATACAAGAATTAACTCATTTCAGAGATTTTCCTATAGCAACCTCGAAATTACTGGAAACTGCAAAAGGAATGTGCACAACATATAAGATAAGTTTGATTCTTTTATAAAATGTTTAATTTATAAATAACAAAAATATGTAAAACAATAATTTTCTAAAATATGCTTTTATTTCATTAATAACAAGTTGAATGAGTCGAAAAATTGTAAAATTTTGTACAAAACAAAAGTAATACAAATTTAAAAACTGAAGATAGAACATCAGACTAAGGCAAATAATAGGGCATTTACTGTATAAATTACATATGATAATTGATGTAATATAAACATTATGTAAAAACTTGCCTGATTTATAAGTTTCTATACTTTGTTATTGAATAAATCTGTGATATTTTCTTTAATAAAATCTGCAATGAATGTTTTATTTTTAAAAATCACCAAAGTCAAGGACCCTAATAACAATTAAATACCAGCTGGTATATACAATGGTAAAAGCGCACAATTGATTAACAATTAAAAACAATAAATTCTTATAAAAGATTGAATATTGATTGCTCAATTACTGTGGATTCGTGAGATACCATTTTTCGTTGATTTCAGCGACATTGTTGATCATTTTATAAAAATATTTGTAATTATGTAGATATGATGTTCTTAAAACAAAAGACAATGTTCTATGATTGAACATGGATCCCTGAAGTATCCTTTATAAAGACCTTGGGTATCTTTGTCTCTCTTTTATAACATAACCCATGTGGAGGTTATCAAAAAGTGTATGGAATGATAAATTAACAGATTAAAGAGGCAGGCATTTTATTTGATTTAGTGGCAAGGGCAGGAGGATTTTTTACAGAGGGATTATTCATTTTCACCTCTTACTAGTACGGCTTATTTATTTCCTGTGGCTTTAATTACTGGGTGAAAAGGTTAATTATTTTACTCTTGTAGACAACTATTTCCTGCATTTTGTTGGGCAGAATATTCATTTTCATCCCGTCTTGGTCAAAGTTAATTTACAGGCTAGAATATTCATTTTTAAAAATCCTCAAACCGACATTTGTGCAGAAAAGTGGATTGTAGATGCTAAATCAAATACTTCATATAGGATTCAAACTTGACTTGGATATATGGTCACATAAAGTTATAATGAAAGAGAGATCCCTATGGATTTTGGCATAAATACCTCAAAGGTCAAGGTCAGAATTACTTAAATGGACCTAAATTTGTACAGAAAATTGGATACCGGTCGCTAAACCATAAACCACTTTTGGGATTGCAATCTGACTTGGATAAATGATTTAATGAGAGAAAGATTCCTATCGATTTTAGGTCACTATATCTGAGGTAAAGGTCCAGGTTACAAAAAATTTGTGCAGAACAGTAGTTTCCGTAATCCAAATTAAATGCTGTATATTAGACTGCAACATGAAGTGAATACATAATCACATTTTATAAGAGAATGATCTCTCTTTATTTTGAAGTCACTGTGTCCAATGTCAAGGTTATTATTAACAAAAAGTGATTTGTATAAAGTCAATATTACTGTTCAGTATAAAAAAGAAGATGTGGTATGATTGCCAATGAGACAACTCTCCACAAGAGACCAAATGACACAGAAATTTAACAACTATAGGTCACCGAACGGCCTTCAACAATGAGCAAAGCCCATACCACACAGTCAGCTATAAAAGGCCCCGAAATGACTATGATAATGGAATATGTAGACAGCTCTCTCACAAGCAAAAAAACCCTAACTGTAAAAATATAAGGGCATACACTACAGGCACGGGGACACATTCAAAATCATTATCAAAATTTTTGCGTTTGTATAATGTTATGTTGTCAGCGTCATCGTCAAAGTCGTGCGAAGACATTTAGTTTCCAGACAATAACTTGAGTATAATTGTATGGATCTCTATGTAATTGTACCACAAGGTTCCATACCACAATGTTCCATACCACAACAGGAAGGTTGGGATTGATTTTGGGAGTTATGGCCCAAACTGCTTAGGAATTTGGGGCCAAAAACAAGCATTTTTCTTGTTTCAGGACAATAACATGTTATAAGTGTATGGATCTCTATGAAATTGTACCACAAGGTGCCATACCTCAAAATGAAGGTTGGGATTGATTTTGGGAGTTATGGCCTAAACCACTTAGGAATTAGGGACCAAAAAACTAGGACTTTCATGTTTCCGGACAATTACTTGAGTATTAGTATATGGATCTCAATGAAATTGTACGAAAAGATTCTATACCAAAAAAAAAGAAGGTTGAGAATGATTTGGGGGGTTATGGCCCTAACTGTTTGGTATAAAAAGGGACAAAAAACAAATTTGTATCAATTGCTGATTTCTTGAGCAATTTCAATGGGGTTTAATTCAGTCTTGAATTCTTTGAGTTCTTTAATATGCTGAATTTAACTGTAAATTTATATTTTCGATTTTTGGACCCTGTTTTTAAATTGGTTCCTCATTGAGGTCCAAAGGGTCCAAAATTAAACTTTGTTTGATTTCACCAAAAATGGAATTATTGGGGTTCTTTAATATGCAGAATCTAACTGTGTATTTAGATTTTTGATTTTGGGCCCGGTTTTCAAATTGGTCCACATTCAGGTCCAAAGGGTCAAAATTAAACTTAGTTTGATTTTAACAAAAAATAAATTCAAGGTTTTTTTTTTTATGCTGAATCTAAGCATATATTTAGATTTTTGATTTTGGGTCCAGTTTTTAAGTTGGTCCAAATTTGGGTCCAAAATTAAACTTTTTTCTTTGATTTCAACAAAAATTGAATTTATGGGGTTCTTTGATATGCTGAATCTTATTGTGTATTTAGATTTGGATTTTTGGTCCCATTATCAAATTGGTCCACATTGAGGTCCAAAGGGACAAAATAAAACTTTGTTTGATTTCATCAAAATTTGAATTTATGGGGTTCTCTGATGTGCTGAATCTGATTATGTATTTAAATTTGGATTTTTGGCCCCATTATCAAATTGGTGCACATTGAGGTCCAAAGGGTCTAAAATTAAACTTTGTTTGATTTCATCAAAAATTTAATTCTTGGGGTTCTTTGATATGCTGAATCTAACCATTATTTAAATTTTGGATATTGGACCATAATAAGTAAAATTGAGAATGGAAATGGGGAATATGTCAAAGAGACAACAACTCGACTAAAGAGCAGACAACAGCCGAAGGCCACCAATGGGTCTTCAATGCAGCGGGAAAATCCCGCACCCAGAGGTGGTCCTCAGCTGGCCCTAAATAAAATTGTGTGCTAGTTCAGTGAAAATGGACGTCACACTAAACTCCAAAACATATAAATGAAGTAAGTACCAACATTCATTCTGTGTCAAGAACCTATGCTATGTCAAATATTTAATCACAATTCAAATTCAGAGCTGTATCAAGCTTGAATGTAGTGTCCATACCTGCCCCAACTGTTCAGGATTCGACCTCTGGGGTAGCATTTAGCTGCGCCCTGCGGAGCAATTTTCTGCTTGACTCAATAGACTTATTGAAGAAAGTAATCAATCATTGTGTCTGCTTTTTTTAGTGATTAATATAAATTTACTTTGTTTGAGACAAGATTAAAATAATTTATTGATTTCTTTTTATATTGGTATGACATTGGCATCGTCGTCATCGTCGTCGACCAAAGACACATTGGTTTTCGCACAATAACTTTAGTTTAAGTGAATGGATCTCTATGAAATTTTACCATAAGGTTCAATACTACAAAAAAAGGTTGGAATTGATTTTGGGGGTTATGGTTCCAACAGTTAAGAAATTAGGGGCCAAAAAGGGGCCAAAAATAAGCATTTTTCTAGTTTCCAGACAATAACTTGTGGAATGGTGTATGGATCTCTCTGAAATTATACCACAAGTTTCCATACCACAAAGGGATGGTTAGGATTTGCTTTGGGGGGTTGTGGCTCAAACCGTTTAGGAATTAGGGGGAAAAACAAGGGTTTCCTGGTTAATGGACAAATAATTTAGTACAAAACATAATTTAAAGCAGTGTAAGGGAGGTAATTCAAATACATCATTTGAATTACCTCCCTTACACTGCTTTTAAATTATGTATAAAGTAATGGTTAATTTAACAATTAAGACAATTAAAAGCAGTGTAAATTTAAATTATGTTTAAAGAAATGCATATTTATGAAGGAAGACCAGTAAAAATATCTGCAAATGTTGCATGTTTTTTTTTTACAAAAAAGTCCATATGAAAGATTTGACACCATATTTTAAATTCTATTATAAAATAGATTAAGTTTGTACTATGGTAAATTTAAATATGTAATTATGGTTGCAAACTCCATTGGAAATTTGAATTGAGATTATGACCGTATCTTGAGGGAAAGAATTTTTTTGATGGGAAAAGGGGGGGGGGGGGGTAAAAAGAAATTGTGGGGGGTCAATTTTTTCTCATTCAGATTTCAGAAATTAAAATTTTTCAAATATTATTTTTATTGCAAAACATGTGTGTGTGGAAGGGGGAAGGGGGGGGGGGGGGGGTAATACGCAACAGCATAGTGTATTGCACAAAAGCAAAAAAAAAGGGGGGTAATTTTTTTTTTTTTTTGTGGGGGGGAGGGGGGGTCAATTCGCAACAGCAAAGTGTATTGCACAAAAGCAAAAAATTGAATATAAATTCAAATCATATAACCAATTCTAAGTTCTAAAAAGAAAATTATTTCTAAAGTTTATTTTCATTTCAACAAGTTAAAAACATAAAAACATCATTGGTTTATAAAAAAATCCTTGTTTCTGAATGTTACAGAGAAAAATCATTTGGTTTGGTTTGATTATTTGCCCCGTCCCCCTCTCCAAATGAAAACAGTAATGCATGACAATTCAAAGATTTTATTGTTTAAATCAATTATATTCAAACAAAGGGGTTGGATAAAGGCTCAGCCTAAACAGGGATGGGGTCGATTACTTTAAAATGTAATCGATCAAATTACAATTACACTTATATTCAAATGTAATTGATTACATTAGATAACTTTTCTTTAAAGTAATCATGATTACTTTAGATTACTTATGATTAAATTGTATATAGGGGGGTATTAAATTAAAATTTTTTAAACATTTGATCCTCACATAAAAAAGCTAATCAGAGCAAAAAATTGTGTTTATAATATTTTAAATATAAACATAATACTTATAAGAACTTAGAACAGGAGCAGTGTAATGTTTGTATTGTTTGGTGACATAATTTATGTTATTTTATTTGACAGATTTACTTTCAATGTAAATGTCTCTGTGCTTTCTCTGTTAAAGGAATAACATTGGTTTTTTTAATATTTTAGTCCAAATTTAAAACATATTTTCAATTAAGAAAAACAAAATTAACAAATAGTAATTATTTAATGATCAAGTAGCCTTTATGTCTATGTGGATATGATT